GATTGCCTCGGGTTGGAAAGGAAAGGAAGAGGAGAGGAGGGGGAAGAAGCAGGGCAACGCAAATAATCATATCAGAATAGACACGCACAGAAATTACAACATGCTCTGCAATGCGTGTGCATGAGCACACATATACGCACGGACACTTTCATCGGATGTGAATCTAGGGGAAATGTATTTAGTCAAAACAGGAATATATGCAATCTTTGTCAATTAAGGAAGCCAGCTGTTCTATCCCTTAAATATCCCAACTCCATATGAATGGTGGGTTTTTTTTTCTTTTTTCTTTTTTTGCAGAGCTGATCTATGGAATTCCTAGGGAAATATTTTACCAATGTTTGATTATTATAAAAGCAACTGAATTAAGTAAAATCCTGCCTTTTTCATGCTGGTAAGGAAAGGGAAAACTTCAACAATATCTGAAAGGAAATTTTCTGCCACCAAATGGAGATGCAGTTGAATCATGAACTTTTCTTTCTTATCTTTCCCCTCTTTCTTTTTTTAACACAAGTGTCTTAACTGTAAGAAACCACAGTAAGCAAGCGCTTCCTGTCTTGTATCTGTATTTCCCAAAGACCACTTTTGATCTTAACTTGTGTAAAATGAAAGAAGATATGGTTTCAAGTGTCTTCTTATAAAAATCTGAATATTTTGGCAATAACAGCACAATTGGGGGCAGGTAGTGAGTGTACACCCTCTCCCAACTTTGCTATTATTGCCAAAATACTATAGTTTTTGTTGAAAGAGACACATACACACATGCAAAAATACATGAAGAGTCTTCCATAAATCATGTTTTTTTTCTTTGTTACTTCCCAGTGTTTAGAATAAACAGATTTATTTTGTTTTTCATTTATTAATATAATTTTACCCCTTCAATTAAAAATGATCGAGTTTCTAGATGCTATTTCCTTTTTCAAACCAGGAGTTGATGGCAAATGCCTGAAAATCATTTTTACATCCATTCCTTTTGAATACTAGATATATAAAGTCCTTTTTTTGTGTTGAAGAGTGAGGATATCACTTCTCAGTTACCTAGCATGGGAAGAATTTCTCTGGTGTGGGCTTCCAAGGTGAAGCTTAGTATGTGTTAGGAGACTATTTTTATCAGTTTGATTTAGCCCCCAAGGATTATATGTTTGTATGCCTCCCTATGAATAAGGGGGTGGGGGTTTCTGGTGGGTATATTGGCATGTGGGAGTGTTAAAATAAGAACATTTCACCTACATTCAAGCATTGTTGAAAAATGAAGAATGCCTTCTGTGAATGCTAAGAAGGTCTTGGTTTCTGGGGAGGACAAGCAGACATTCCTCAGGTCATTAATTTGGGATGCACTCTATAAAATTCTCTGCTCCAAAGCAGACCAACAGAAGACAGGGGGTTGCTCCGCAGCCAGACAAGGAGGGTGAGGCTTTATGTTTTCCTCAGCATTCTTAATAGGACAAGAATCTCTTGGACCTACAGGAATTGTTAGAATAAAACATGAAAACAACCAATTGGACTTAGGGCCTCTCTTTTTCTCCTTACATTTATTTATTTTTAAAGGTGACTCTTTAATTTGTTTAACTAAAAAGGGCTGGCCTCTTTTTTCTCTTAAAAACAAGGGCTTTAAAAAATTCCAAAAATAAGCACGGAAGCAATTTGCCCCTAGGTTGCCATCATCCAATATATGATTTAGTCGTTGAAGTGATCAGATGGATCAATATCTTTGATCCAAAGCTGTAAAATCAATTAATATATAGTGAAGAATAATTTCAGCATTTGGGGTTTTCCTATGTTCCCATATTTACCGGCCACTGACTTCAGTGGATAAAACCAATGGAAGAAAAAATGCATAGAGGAGGAAAAGAAAGCAATAAAGAGTGAAGGAAAAGGGAATAAATGGATGTTTTGCCCACTAGATTGTCAGAAACTTAAAAGGCCTTAGTTACACATGTGAAAGTAAGTGACCTCTCTAGGATTTGGAAAGATTCAAGGGTGGGTGGTTTTTGTAGAGATTTTTTTTTTTTTTTACTGAGACAATAGCCACTGGAAAAGGCCTGAAAAGCTTCATGTTCTTTATCTTGCAACTTTTAAAAATTATAACCAGCAAATTAACTTTGAAAACCCTAAAGTGAGATTATAACAACAAACCAATTTTAGTCTTAATTTATTTTTTAAAAAAATATTCTCACATTTGAAATTTAAGCTAGTCCAATTTGGTATAGTGGTTAAGATGCTGGCCCAGAATTCCAGGTCTGTGGGTTTTAATCCTGCCTTAAGTATGAAAGCCAGCTGGGTGACTTTGTTTACTCTTTCCCAGCCCAACTCACCTTACAGGGTGATTGTTAAGTAGAAAATAGGAGGAAGGAAGGAGTATTCACTGTCTTGAATTATTTATAAATAATAAAGGCAATATAAAAACATTTATAAAAACCAATGTGGAACGTTGACATTTGCCTACCCTTGTTAATGCAGAAACAAAAAAAAACAATCCTTCCATTTGTGAAAGCATTGCCTAGTGGGGAAAGCCTGTGTGAGTTTATCTAGATGAAGGAATGGCAGGTCTTAGGTTGTGTCTTTTGGCAGGTCTCTCTTCCCAAAGGAGTAAAAGGCCTTTTGCAAATCACTTAGGGGTTGCTGAAAAAGCAAAAGAAGAAAAGGAAGGATGTTCTCAGCCAAAAGATGTTCATTCATTCGAGATTGGATGACACACATCTAGATACACATACATCCAGGGTAACATTTCTGCCAGAACAATTTCATTTGCATTCTCATCTCCTCTTTTTAAAAGCATCACATTTTAGCAAAGCAATTAAAACACATAATGCAGCCCTTTAAATTAGAAATATAAGCTGGTAAGAGGAGCCTGACTATGCAAGCAGGTGAAGGTATTTCTAAATATATTTGACTCTTGCACATAATTTACAGAAAGAAAAAGACATTTCTTTATCTTCCTTCCTGGGTCTGTATGAGATAAAGAAGAAATTAGCTCAGTCTATTTAGAATATATAGAAGTAAAAAAGGAAGATATAGGGCAGAAATGTCAACATTGTAAATAATAACATATGTATCACATCTCCATAAGAAAAGTTGACTCTGATGCTCACCGAAAACAAAGGCTTATTGTTTTTATTATTTTGCAATTGAAGATATATTCTCTTGGGACTGCCTCTTAAATGATATCCTTGAGCATTTTTAATTTAAAAGAAAGATGTGCTTTCAAAATCTGTTGAAGGAAAATAACCCAGGATAAAAAACCAGATCCAAAGTTCTGATTCAACAGCTTTTAGGGGGATGTAACTAATGTTGTAAAAGCTGTTTTCTTATCCCACAGTTATAACATTTGAGACATCACAGTTTTATAGGAACAACAATCTCTAGAAGTATCTGCCCTTCCAACCAAAACTTTACATTCTTCTCATGCACCTATTTCACAAAAGAATGAAAACAAGGATAATCCTGCAAGAAATAGATGCACATTTTCTTTTTAAAACAGTGTTTTATTTGAAAATAAAGCTAAAGCATGCTTTTTCAAGAGTGCAAATTTCCATCATTTTGATTTACTGTCTCCATTATCACAACATCTAGAAGTCCCCTTGCTTCAATTATGACAAATTTTAAGTGCAAATATAGACAATTGCCTCTGATTGTCATGTGCAGTAAAAATGGTCTTGTTACAAAGATAGGACAGTTGGGAAAACTGAAATTTCCAGGTATGTAAGAAAACAGTGTCACATCCTGGTTTCAGACACCTGAGTTTGGGTAATCACAGCAGCTACTGAAAGCAAGGAATTTGGGGCTTCTGTTGTATTAAAAATGGGGGAGAGGGTGATTGCATTTTCCTGCAATGGAAATCTGAAAAAAAAATAGTATTTTATTTTTTTCAATCTGAGAGACACAGTTGTGGATACTCCTTCATCTTTCCAATAAAACATAGCTTCAGTCTACTCCACTGCAATCCTAATTCTTCAAAGAAGACTGCAGTTCTTATCAATCATTCAGGGGCTGATGTGGGAAAGCGGCTTTCTAAATTAAATGTGCACAAGTCTGGTCTGTGATACAGGAGACAATGCTGTAACCAAGATATGATATGTGGACATTCTGAACAATTTATTATGGGAAGGGATAGAATGTTGTTCCCTTACTTTGTTAAAACTGACTTGTCCTGGATTCTTTTATTTTTAATTTTAACAAGAATCACACTAAATTTAACTGCTTCTATTGATTTTCAGCTGTGAAAGAAACAATTGTCCCAGCAATGATCTAGAAACATACACTCTATGATAAATGTAGGCATGTTAGTTATTTTGATAGAAAGGAGATAGGGTGGGGATTAAGAGGTGGGGAAATACTTAGAAGTTAAGAAGAAGAAGCTTGCACCCCCTCCCCCCCAACAACTGAATAATAAAGTCCCTGTGCAACTTTTTGCTGAAGCAAACTGAATAGAATTGTACAGACTTCCAGGTTCCAGATCTAGTGCATTACATATTAATGGCTCGTTCAAATAATCTTTCAACTAATAAAATCCCAAATCCCAAGCATTTACTTGAAACAATTGAATTGAGGTACCAGGTGCATTATAAGCAATCTGAGACAGGAAAGTGTTCCAGCTCTGAGAGACTCCACTGAGGTGTTTGTTTGTTTGTTTTTAATTAACTTGAGACTTTTGCTTGAAGTAGTCTGTGGAATGTTAGATCTCTCTCCTTTCATGCACGCTACCTACCCTCTTCCCCCCATGATCTGTTTTCATGGCAAAAATAATAATAATCCAATTTTTGCTGTCTTCTTCCCCCAGTGACTGGGAGGAAGAATTTCAAAAATTAGAATTCCAAAATCAAAATGCAAGCAGATGCGATAGAAGAAAAACCAGAGTAGTGAACTGTAGTGAAAAGAAGGTGTTGGGAAAGGGGGAGAATCAAAATGACATTAGTTATTACTATTATTATTAGGATGAATTCAGAAACTCAAGCCATCCTCACATCAACCATAAAAGTAGAATTCCCACCCTAGCCCTTTCATTAGTTCAGTTTCCTGAACTTGTGGCTGGGTGGAAGAGGTATTGGTGACCCACCCAGCTGCCATTTCCAGATAGGATGGGCTTTAGGTGGTGGTTGGGCACTCTTGGCAGTGCTTAAGGTATAGGCTGGTGAGAGATCTCCATCAGGGCCAACCACCAAGGAAGGAGGGCAGGGAAAGTTGCCCATAAAACTGAATGGCCTCTTGAGAGTGGAGGTGACATTACTGGCCACCCTCTTGCGTCGGTTAAGAACAGTTAAGTCATCCAAAGCTCCTTCCTGAGCCTCTGGGAGTTTCCCTGGAGGTGGCCGGGGGTTGCGTGCAGATTTCAGATTTGGCTTGAGTGGTGCTGGGCTGGGTATGGTGGCTCGTTTGCCCAGCACCAAGGTGCGGTAGTTCTTCCTCACCCGTGCTCCAAATTTGTAATCCCCATCCTCAGGTTTGGCAGCAGAAGCAGTGCCTAAAGTGCATGCAGCAAGGGTCCGGCTCAAAGATGCTGGACACAGAGTGCTCTTGGGAGGGCTAGGAGAGTCCTCTAGGCAGGTAGGGTCTGCCTTGACTGACAGCAGAAGAGTTCCAGGATGCTGGGTGGGACCTGGCAGTGGTAATGACTGGTCTTCTGCCTCCATCTTGGTCTCCTGGTCACTCCCTTCCCATTTGAGTGGTATCTGTACTGGGAGAGCTCCATACTCAGCATTAGCACTGCTGTCCTCAACTTTGATCTGGGCAATGGGCACAAAAGATGGGAGCTGGACATGGCTTTGGAGATCTGGACTTGCAACAGCAGCAGTTCCCTGGAAAGTGGCTGATCTTCCATTAAACTGGGCATTTCCAGGAAGCCCCTTGGACAGGTGGGTTAGGGCAGCAGTGGTGCTGTCTGCACCAGTTGGAGAAAGAGGAGAAGGATAAGGGTGAGAGGCAAGGGCAGGCTGGCAGATCTGGCCTTCTCCGAATAATTTTGCTTGGGGCAAAATGAGGTTTGGCTTTGAGCTAGGAGAAGAGTCACCGCAGGCTAACCAGGGGACCCCAGGCAGGTCAAGAGACTTTACCTCAGGCACGAGTGTGGAGTGGTCCTCGCCAGTCAAGAGGGATCTTCCCTCGCCGCCTCTGGCTGCTTCCGTGGGCTGCTCCAGCAATCCTAAGTACGCGCTGCCGGCAGGATGAGTGGTGCAGTCCAAGCCCAGCTCAGCTTTTGAAAGCCAGCCAGCCGGGGTCTTCCAGTCCTCAGGTTCTTCCGACGCTTCACATTTGATGAATTGCGCTGGACCTGGGAGCTCCTCGTGGTTGGCAAAATGAGGCGGATCGGGCACGAAGCTGGCTGAAGTCTGGAGAGTGGGCGATCTGCAGAAGCTAGTGCGCCTGAAGCGGATACTCTGGACCGAGACGTGGCTGGACCCGGAGCTGGAATCAGATTCCGAGCTGGTCTCTTCTTCTTCTTCTTCTTCTTCCTCCTCTCCTTCTTCTTCTTCTTCTTCTTCTTCTTCTTCCTCCTCCTCCTCCTCCTCCTCCTCCCCCTCCTCCTCGTCTTCCTCCTCTTCTTGCTCTTCCTCGTCAGAGCTGAGCTCACTGGAATCAGAGGCGCAGCTGCCTTCATCCTCTTCTTCAGAAGAACCGGAATTGCTGGTGCTGCTCAGGCTGGAGCAGAAGTCGGAATCGTTGTCTGCATGATTCGAATAGGAGCTGGATTCCGAGTCGCTACTGTAAGGTTCCGGGAAAGCCGGGGCAGGCTGCGGGGTCAAAAAACCGCGCAGTCCAGGCAGCCTCTCCGCCACGGCGCTCCGAGCTGCTTTGCAAGCCCGGGGCAGGATCACCACACGCCGCCCGCACCCGGTAGAGAAACGCCTCTCGGTACTCTTTTTCCGCTTCGTCCTGCAGCCCAGACCCAGCGGTTTGCTTCTAGAGACTGCTGCTGCTGCTGCCGCCGCCGCCGCCGCCGCTGCTGCTGCCGCCGCCGCCGCCGCCGCGAGCTTAGGCTGAATGGCAATGGCGGCCGAGGAATGGTAGTAGTAATGAGGATGCTTGGAGCAAAGCAGGCTCCGAAAACAAGCGGGTTCTGTGGCCAGGGAGACATAACCGGGGCCAAGCTGGGCCGTTTCATAGTTTATAGCCTCATTGCTAGGCGATCGGGAAAAGCTTGGCAAACTGCGCCCGGCGGATTTGCTCCAAAAATGAGGTAGATCCGAGGCCGGTAGGAAAGCTCCTGCTTGTGCAGCCGCCGCCGCCGCCGCCGCCTTGCGCCAGGCTGCTTTCTTTCTGCTGCTGGCTTGGCTTGTAGTCCCTTCTTTCAAGCTCAGGCAAAGTTTGCCGCCGTCTTTCCAAAAAGCCGCATAGGGGTCGGGGCGCAGGGTGCCCTGGCCCGGCTTGGCGCCTCCCCGACGCTTGGTTCTCAGGACCCGTTCGGTCTTGCACGAGGTATAAAGCGCCTCTACGTCCTCGCGGGAAATCAGGGTGCATTTGGCAGCGTGGAACGCTATGGAGTTGATGGACTTGAGCTTCCGCAGTTCCTCCAGGTCACACTGGTGCTTTTGGACTTTCAGGTGGTCCATGCGCTTGTGCACGGTGGTGCGCGGGATGTTCTTCAGAAGATCTGTGAAGACCTGCGAGAGGGGGAACATCTGCTTGCCCTGGATCATCAGGTAGCCCAGGCGTACGCCATCCACCTCTTCGAAACCCGACTTCAAATCTTCCATGGTGCGCCTTAAATTAAGTCTAGCATCTGGGCTGGGGAAGCGGAAAATGGATGGGCGACGGCCCGCCGTGCACCCCACAAGTTGGAACAGCGATCAGCAGCAGGAAGAAAAGGTGCGATGTCGGGCGGGTGGGGCGGCAGAGATAGAGAGAGGGGAAAAAAGAAATCCACAGACGAAAAGGCAATTTTAAAAATCCTTAGCCAGATGCTGGATTTGGTCTCAAGGCATCCTACTGAATGGAAAAGAACAAAGCGTGTTATTCCTGATCAAACTTCGGAGGACTAACCAAAAAGAAGAAGATCAGAAGGCAGAGAGGAGGAGAAATGGAAAGAGCCCTGGAGGGTGGAAATAAAAAAAAAAAAATCGTGTCCTGGGGAGTGGGAGGGAATATATCAGTTTGGTGGCCCCGGCCTTTTTCGCGACGTAGCTGAGGAGGCAGGCTCACTACCTGTGTCCTTGGGCTGGCGGCTCTTCCCCCTGTCCAGCCCAGGATAAAGGAATGTAAAGCCAGAGGGCTGCTGAAGGAGGCAGAAGAGCCACGCAGCCGTTCTTCCCGCCGCTGCTTTCGCTCCAAATCAAATGACAGAGTGAAGTGAGCTCGTCCGGAGACACCTTCATCAATTAATTCCCCTAAAGCCAGCGCTGATTGGACACTCCTGACAGGTGATGCAATAAAAATTGATATTCCACCCCTTCGTGCCCCCCTCCCCAATCTTTGGCTAATTAGCATACTCTTAGACTGCCACCTTCCCTCCCAAAGTAAATAATACTGTTAGTATATAAATCTTTCTATTAAACAATCCAGAGGTTCTCCGCCAGCCCAAAGGCAGCTCGACGGCGCTTGGCTATTAAAGGAACGGATTGGAATTGGATTACTGACACTGTTTTAGTTCTTTTTTCTTCTTCTTTTCTTCTTCCTCTTCCTCCTCTTTCTCCCTCCTTCCTCCTTGTTTCTCCTTCTCCTCTTCCTCCTCCCTTTTCCTCCTCTTTCTTCTCTCCTTCCTCTCTTCTTTCTCCTCCTCCTCCTCCTCTCCTTTTCCTCCTCCTCCTCTCCTTTTCTTCCTCCTCCTCTTCTTCCTCCTCCTTCTCTTTTTTCTTTTACAAAGCCCACCTCCCAAAATAAATACCAGTGCGAAAGCTTCATCCAGCCATTTAGTATAATTAAAGGGGGGGGGCTGTTTCTCCCACCAAGACACTGCAAGAGTTCTAGGGATGGACAGATGACTGAGGTGTGTGTGTGTGTGTATGCCTGTGTGTGCCTGTGTGTCCGAACCGCAGAGTAACCATTTTAAGCAATCATTTTAAAGGGGCGTTTATTCTGCCTAACGAGTCAAAGGAGGCTTGCTCGTCTGGCGGGTCCTTCCGCGGGCGTTAAAGTTTTCCCTTTGTTTTAAGAGCTGGGGCGTATTTGTTGTTATTTGGATTTCTCCTTTCTCCCCACCCACCCCCTCCGACTGAGAGAACGAACATACTCACGTTCACTAGAGGTGCCTCTTCTTTCCTCCTTCTCGCTCCTCTCTATTTCCCCCCCCCCCCCTTTTCGCCCCCCCCCCCCGAGCTAAGTTGTTGCTCCCCTCCTAGGATTTCTTTGGGGCAGTGCGCTTCTCTAGAGCTCCAGCTCCGTTATACTGTAACACTTTTCGATGAAATTCTGCCTGTGATATTGAGGGGAGGGGAAGCAGAGGGGGGAAGAGGAAGGGGGGGGAGAGATCAGGACGTGGGCTCACGTCAGACCCGTAACAAAGCAGAGATAAGCTAGAACTGCATCCACTTTCTATAGTTTGTGGGGCGGCTTCTCAAGGTAGAAGCTTTAAGTTTCCGAGTCAGTGCCAGGATCGCCTGAGCGTTGATTGTTTGGCGGGAGTGTGTGTATAGAGAGAGAGGGGGGAAATGGTAACAGATTCAAGAGAAGTACTTTGAGAAGGAAGGTTGTGGTGAGTCAAAAGGATGCTTCTCGTCTACAGCTTCTGGCCCCAGCTGCCATTGCAGGACACATCTACAGGTTCGATTTTGCCTTCTACTCCCAGGGCTGCAATCTCACGAGACAGGGCTGCAATCTCACGAGATGAGGTACATAACTCCTGTGTGGGACAGTGAATTTGCCAGACTACAGATTGAAATTGCCTTTCATGTGTCCTCTTGTAGTTCCTATTAATGACCTCCCAATATTTAATATCTTGGTCTCATGAAAAAACTTGCAGGATTGTTTTAGAGGTGAACACTATTCTTCCTGCACCACCAACCAGCAAGGTATCCCCTTTTACCTTTTCAAGAGTAAGGACTCTTTCCATCATCAAATGCATGAAAAACCAAATACATTCAGTCTGAAGGGAAAGTTCCTAGGTGTGGAATCAGGCCAATGGCTGGTCTTCCAATGGAAGTCCAGTCAATGGGCTTCAATTGGAATTCTCCAAAGCTTCTGGAGGATGGTGGATGGAGGCATCCATTGATTTTAAGATCCCTTCTTGGCTGGATGAACAAATCAGGTTTCCCATAGCTCAGGGCCAGAGTCAAAATGAAATACATCCCTCCTCTGCAGAAAACCCATGGGGGGGGGGGGGGGGGGAAGAGAATAAATCCTCTCTTCTAATTCATGGTTCTGCTCCTCAATCCCTCCCCTTGATATAGACCTGCAGGTACAGAAAAGGGGCTTCTTATTATACTGGCACTGCAATAAATAAATACACACACCCCCTATACACGCATACACACATCACTGCTTTTCCCCATCTTTTTTTGTAATTAATTTTCATGGCAGTTTTGCATGACTACATCCTTTTACCTCTTTTCCCCCCCAAACATATAATTCCCCAAGAAGGCTGACTTTGTCTTTCTTTGCATGTGCAAGGAGGCATCCGGAAATTAAGAGTCCTTTGAAAACCTAACTAAGCACCCCTGGGTGACTTCTTGCTTTCCTTTGGCTTCTCAAGAGCTGCCTGAATTCCCAGCCTCTTCAGCAGAATCTAAAGGCAAAGGTAAACAAGGAACGGGTGTATGTTGCACAGCTCAAGCTGAGTTCTCCATCTTGTCTATAGACAGACTCCTCTTCCTCTTGCCCAAGAGACAGATTCTGGAGCTGCAAGCCTATTTTTTGAGGATAAACAGCTATTTGTAGCAGAAACAAGGGAGGGAGATCTTTTCTTCATCTTTTTCTGTAGGATAGCAGAAGGCTCATCCCATTCCTCCTTCCTCTATTCCCTTTTGCTTTGAGGTTGATGATTCTGGAATCTTTGTAGATGAAAGCACAAAAGAAAGAAGCTGTGACCCAAGGTCCAAAGTTCTCTCCTCTCTGGTAGCAGGATATTTGTTTCCTCCATAAAGTTGAGTTCTGAAGCTTTGGTTTGACCTGGTGCAGCTCAATTCCTTTGGGCTGCCATTGAACACAAGCCAAACCAACATTCCCTTTACAGCTGTGAAGTACTCAGGGATAAATGGGGTGTAAGAATCTTTCTTGTTCTCTCCCCTCATCCTACCTTCCTCCCCCCTCACACACAAGCCACACATACACACTTTAAAATTTGCCAGATTACTTGCACCCTTTAGAAAAGTTCAAACTCTCAAAGGGTTTTGTTTGCTATAAGCATTGGCCTTAAAAGCATACCCTCCTGCACGTGCATAGTTATTAAGAATTGGTATGAATCCAAATTTCTTCCAAAGTACATTCTTATTTATTTTATGTAAGTCATGGTCATAGCAGTCTCTCTCCCACCCACCATGTGTGTTTGTGTGTGTGTGTGAGAGAGAGAGAGAGAAAGAGAGGGAGGGGCCAGGCAGGCAGGCAGAGAGATGGAGATGTGGGAGGGGGGTAAACAAATGAAGAAGTAAATAAATACACAAGCGCAACTCAAGTCACAGCATTTAAAAAGAAGATGCCTAGTTCAGCCAGTGAATTGGATTTAAGTCTCTCCCACCAGATTTTTTTTTAGGTTTTTTGTTTCTTAATTCTTCCTCTTCTTGATTTTTTTTTTTTTTTTTTTTGGGGGGGGGGGGGGGGGAAGAGAGCTGCTGGTTTTCTTGTGATCATCAAAACAAGATGCCCTTATAGGATCATTCTGGCAGCATGTTTGGAGGCAAGCTGGATTTATAAACAATAGCTCAGAGACCCCTAAGTGAGGAAAGAAAAAAAGAAAGAAAGAAAGAAAGAAAGAAAAAGAAAGAAATACTGCGGCTGTCCTAAGGATCATAGATCGCCTGCTGCAATCTGGGAGCTGCATTTAGAATCCATATTATTCACATGAAAAATCACCTCCTTTTCCTCACTTCCATACGCCCCCCCACACCCGCCCCCATATAAAGACCATGTCCATGTTTGTGCATGTACATGAGTGAGCCAGTGAAAAATTAAGGTGTTTATTTCCGGTCATTTCCAGAGAGACATTCTTAGACGAAAAGCAATGCAGCCACCCCCCACCACCCCGCCCTCTGCTGGGTTATGATCTTTCAGCCCAGCTAAAGCAACATGCTCCAATTCTGGCTGTTGGGTTCCAGTCTGAAGCAACCTCCTCCCTCCTGTAGGATCTGCCTTCTAGCTGACTGTGAGTGACTTCCAAGCCCTCAGTTCTTCACCTTCCTATCACATAAGTCCCTGGGAAGACCAGCATACTGGGATTTATTCCTGAATGCTGGGTAATTCTTTGCCTAAATCCTGGCAAAAACTTCTGAAAAGCTGGGCCAGTAATAAGGTTCACTTTAACTCCACTGAATTATGGGCGCTGCTGGGAAAGTACTTAAGGTGCTAAAGGCGTGGAACTGGGCCTCCCGTTTCTTTGTGGAATAACAGGCTTACACCGTGTGGGGATCTATGCAGGAGTAGAAGCTCCTAACTTTTAAGCATTTTGCAAACTGAGCTACTGTAGTGGGGCATTGGCATTTTCAGTTCTTTTGAAAATCTTATTTCATGAGAACCAAGGACCATCTTCTTAATTCCCGCAAATAAATGAAAAAACAAATAAATGTTACAAATAAATGAAAAAACAAACACACAGTGGCATAGATGAATT